GGGGGGGGGGCGGGCGGTCCCCGGCGGGAGCGGTGCCCCGGGTGCGGCGGGCGCTTCCCCGGCGCTGTGGCTCCGCATCCCTCAGGCGTGTGTGGGGACGTCACCCTAATTGCACCCCGGTGTGTGTCCCCCCACCCGGGGGGTGCCGGGTTCCCGGGCTGGCTGCCAGCGCCGGGCGCGGCGGGCTCCCTGCCCGGTGCGGGGCTCTCTGCCCGGTGCGGGGCTCTGCCCGGCCCCGCCGCCTTTTGGGGCGAAATATTTAGCGGTTTCCGTGACAAAAAAAAAAAACACAACAGCAACAAAAAATTGTGATCGGTCATGCCGAATTAAAGAGGAAAAAATGCGGAGGAGCGGTGACCCGCGGTCGGGCGCGGAGCGCTGGCGGTGCCCGTCGCTCCCGTCTCCGCCCCGGCCCCGCTGCGGGTCCCGCCGGAGGGACGGTGCCAAATCGGGAGGCGTTTGTCCCCTCGGTGTGCCCGGCTCTTGGCCTGAGGCACCGCAGAGGAAATGGATATGTAACTTTGTTCTTTTTCTTTTTTTTATTTAAAAAAAAAATGACAGAAAGTTTGTCTCTATCTCAAAAAATGATGTAAACTGGCGAGCTGCTTTTTTTTTTCTCCGTTGACTGAAAAGAGCCTTGGACGATAGTCTGTCTCTCTCGTCTGGGTCAGAGGCTCTTTGTTAGGAATTTCTCTTAACTGGACCTAGTCGATGTCGACTGGTGCACTTTAATGTGAGCAGCGGCCAGTGCTGCCAATAAACGTCCACAAAGCTTGTCTTTATCTTTTACACTTAGATATGGCCCGATTCCCCAGCTGTTGATGTTGGAACTGTGGTGCACTGTGATATAAATAAATGTATTCGTGCCGGTGTCCAGTTCTTTAAAAATGAATTTCTGTCACGCCCTTTAATTTGCAAGTAGTTGTGTGCTGTGCCTTTCTGCATAGAGGCTTTCATGGAGCATTCATTTTAAGGACTTATCAAAAGCCTTCATAGAGGAAAAGTGCTCTGGGAGAAGAAAAGCCCTTAGTGCTGAACTCGGGGCAGGAACCGGCAAAGGGTGCCAAGGCTGACAGTCACTCACAGTCAATACAGACTGCTGGGGATTCACAGTGCTGTGAATGAAAGGCTGATCTAGTGGGGTGAAAAGGATGAGATTTGTTGCTCCTTGTGTAGGTGTCTATCACTCTGCTCAACAGCATGGATTATTTTCAGATAGTACCTGCTGTTGTGATTGTTTTGGAAGGGGCAGCAGACTAGTGAGGAAAGTCTCCCAGATATCCTGCTTTGTTTGGAAACGATGCTGGACTGGCCGTGTTCAGCATCCATCTGAAGGCAGGCAGCTGTAAGAAGTCTGGTCCTTGAAAGTAAAAACCCCAGTTATGCAAACTCCAATTTTCTGAAAATGGAACTTCTTCATCAAGCTTTGGCTGTGGCACCCAGGAAAAAAAATAAATCAAAGATCATTAAGTGTTTTTGGATAAATAAATTGCTAGCCCTAACACCTAGAAGGGTTAACAGCACCTTAATACAGTTAACATCAGCGCTGTCAAAAACCACCAGGGTGGGATTGTCACCACTGATGGGAAAGCTCCTCTTTTCATTGTGGAACTGGGGAGTTTGTTTCCACAGGTGCTTCTGTGCCCGACAGAGGCTTGGATAACGAATTTGAGAGATACGTCTTTTTTTTTGCACTCTCCTTGACTCTAATGTACTGTGTGCAGTTGTGCTCTTAATGTCTGCATGCATCATAAAAGTCAAGAGACAGCAATGAATCTCTTTGCTCTTAAAAGTATAAGTGGCCTTCTTCCAGTTTTCCGAGGATGCCATCCATCTTCTGTACGGGGTGGGCATAGTCTAAGTGCAAGCACACTTTTTTGCATACTGCAACATAATATCAATTTTTAGCATTTAACATATTTCTTCTGGAAAGCTTAAAAGATCTGGCTTTTGGCACTTTGTCAATCTTCCTTGACATTCAGACCATCAAAGGGCTGAACCCTTCTCAGTGCCTTTAGCTACACCCCCTTCAGCTGGGTATAAAGGCTTCCAGTATTATATAGTACTATTTAAAAACTGTATTTATGCTGTTCAGGATCTTACACATCCTTTCAGGGTATAAAGTCTCTGATTTGAAGTTTAAACTGATTACCAATTGCAGGTTGTTGAAAAACAAGATACAGTCCCAGTTTATTGGATGAGTGCGGAGGGAAATGCGTAGTAGAAATCATGCTATTGTTCAGATTGGACAGGTTTTTGTGTATGAAGCTTTTGTGTGCAAAGCTATAGACCTGTTTCCTTAACTGCTTGGTAGAGTTACTGGGTGAGGTTTTTTTCCCCCTTCTCTTTCAAATGTGATATCCTTGGGAAAGGCTGAAGTCTGTTATAGGGAATACGTAGGAAAACTGTTTTCTATTCATCCCATTGTAGCATATAGTGTCTCTTAATAATCATAGGGTTATTGTTTGGGTTTGTGTGTCAGTTTTCTTCTTAACCTTTGTAGCTTTATGTACCCAAAGAGGAGTTATGATTTCAGTTTTCTCATGCCCGTTTGACCTATACACTGCAGTGGGCAGTAGTTTAAGCCAAGTTAACTTTAGACAGTGATATTTTGTGCATTCATGGTGTGCCTGGTGAGCTGTGCACTGTGTGAGCCTGAAAAAATGTGATTGATCTTGCCCAAGACTGACAGGGTACCCGCCTATCTAAAATTATTTAATGTGTTAATATGTTCTCAGGCACTTGAAAGCCTTGTCATGATAGTTCAGGGCTTCTTGCTTTTTATTGCCTGAGGGCCTGATAGTCACCTGGTGTACTTCTGATCATGAGAGCTTCTTGGATGAAGTGTGTTATTCTCAACAGTCTGTCCATGTGCTGGTCTGTGTGTTTGTGTATGTTTTTATATGCATGAGTTTGTATATAGTCACTGATTTATATTAGAATGGTATCTGTAATGGCCAGGTCTTCGGTGTTTCAGCTGTTTATTTTCCAACCCTGCAAAGGCCCCCGTCTGTATTATCTGCCACAGCTCTGCAGGTTTCCAGTAAACACATTCAGGGGTTGGTGATTCTTGAGGAACTATATGAGCCAAATATTCTTGCAGGAGGAAAGAAGGGGGGGGTGAGGGGCATATTTGGTTTGAAATATTACCTCAGATAAATGTGAATAGTCAGGCTGTTACACAGTCCTCGACACAGAAATTATAGCAGAATATGGGTATTTGCCCTCCACTATGATAGTGGAGTCAGCCAGTGCCTTTGACCTGTCTGAAATAGTTAATTGCCATGATGCTTCCATTTAGTTGTTTTTGCACATTTTTCATCTCAAGAAAAGTTTGTCATCACAGATGTGCTGAGGTTATTGTATTTCTGACAATGTCTCCTTTTCCTTCCTTAAGCGGGTTTTATGGCTGTAACCTCGAAAGGTTTCCCCGTGTCCCCGTCACTGCCTTTTGCAGCCGAGTGAGGAGCCAGGTGGCTGCTCACTTCTGGGGCAGGGACAAGCTGAACTGCTTCTGTTCTCTGGACATACAATTTCAAAGCTTCGAGTACAGACTCAGAAACCAAGCAAGAATGTTGCTTTCTCTGCTTTCCTTCAGACAGTTTAAAAAGAAACAAATGTCAATTTTTGCCGCAATAAAAATTGTTAGTAACATGACATCTCTGATCATTCTTTTTTAAAAAAAGATGTTACTTTATCTCTCTCCTGTCCCCTTCCTATGCCCCCATCCTGTTGACACCCCTAAATCCCTCAGCAAGGCCCTGGTAACAACTTCATTCTTTCTGGCAACATGATCTGGCACAAAAAGCAATGGAGTCAGTTTTGTTGCACAGTGTCCTGCTGTGAGTTTTACAATAAGGAATGAGCCTGGTTTCTTCATTCCTTCAGCCCTACTTTTCACTGGTTTGTGCTGCCACTGAAATAACAAAGGCTGTTCTGCATCTCACGGTGTTTGAGTATGAACTACTTGTGTGCAACCAGGAGGGAGGTACGGGAACAGACGGAGCTGTGGAGGCTGGGTGTTGGGTTAACAATGCCACCTTGCATAAATGATGGTCTAGGTTCTGCCACAGCGTTCTGGTGAACCTGGGCTCGCTGTTGTTGGTTGCAGGTCAACTGTCTGCTGCCCAAGTAATAGCTCTCCCGCTTATTGCCTAGCATGTAATGGATGAAGTTTGTATTTTGAGGATTTAGCAAGTGACAGAGACCTTTCTCAAGGGAAGAAACTCGACTGGGCTGTGCTGGTGGTGCACCCTCCTCTGGTGCTGCTTTTGAAATCCAGTGTGGTATGTGAGGATATTTAAAGACTTTTTTCCCTGCT